ATTGTCTTAAAAATCTGTAAGTAAATAAACTTTTTTGAATTATTGGCCATATCCAGCTTTTGATCAAAATGCTGCTATTTGGTTTACTGGCTTTCTGACTTTCTCCAATAAAAATGTAGCTAGATAGTTCAGAGAAGAGACAAGACAGATTTGGCTGCATCAGAACAACTTATTTTCCAGAAAACAAATCAGAGTAGGTTTAGAATTACCTAAGTCCCAATAAAAAAGCCAAATATATTTTACTTATTAAGAATAAAAATTTAAACCTGGGACAGATTGTAAACCTGAAAATATTGTGGAGCATCAGATTTGCATTGTGTAGAGATCTTCAGATTATCAAAACACAACTTTGAAAAGGCTTGAAAGCCACAGATATATAAGGACCATAGGACAGATATTTGCACAGATACACAGCAGATACAACAATTTTGGAGGCTATTCTTTGAATCATGTGTAGTCTCTGATAATACACAATTTCATCCAAGATTTGTTGGATAAACAAGATAGATAGAATAAAAAAAATGAAGCAGACTACTGTAGACAGCAGAAAGAAAAGCCACAGGAAGATCATTTTTACATGTAATTGGAACAATCTATGCAGGAGATAAAGAGGTCATGGGGCTACTTAGTTTATTATGGTGTCTGTTATTATATCCAGCACCAGATGTTTCAAAGCAAGGTGCAAGAAACCTCTTAAATCATAGTAAACAGAGATTTCACTTAAATCCTGCACTACAAGATTTAATATCTCATCCAAAACTCATTAATGTATTTTGGAAGCCTTAGGCTTGACATAATTTTTTTTCTATACAAACTAAGAAATGGTCTCTGACCATGAAATTACACTTTTGTGGAAAATTTTTCGCCAGCCTGATTAAATGAGTGGCATGTACTGTAATTATTCAGAAAAGCTGCAGATTGTTTTTCATTGTCTTAATCCTGCTTTGTCCATTTGGCAATCATTAAAACATGTTATGGAAGCTACGCATGAAACATACATGTGGAAGCTACTCAGCTACATAGTAAGTCAAATGATTTTAATCTATGAATCAAATATCTGTCCTGTTATTCCAAGCCTAACCAGATTCTGAGGCTTGACAAGAATTAAAGGTACACGGTTTTTCATTCCGTTGTGTTTCATGAGAGTCTAGTAGTGGATGGCATGGGAACATCTTTGTTCAGTCTCAGAAGAAGCTTGGGAAACTGTTGGGGAAAGTTTTATGTAGCCAAGAGTGTCTGATAAAAATTAGATTTAAAGGGAAAATCTGAACATGATACAGTGATCTTAAGTTAAACCATCTGGAAGTGTATTCCTCCTGACTTCCTTATTCCCTAAGAAATAAGAAAAGTACTTTTTCTTGTCATTCTTTGGCTACATTATGTGAATGTTAAGAGCTCTAGAGATCAATGGTGAGGAACTCCTGTGATGTAACTGTATATTACTTCATACAACAACTGTGATAATCAGTGTCTCTTGATCTTTATGTCTTCTGTCCTGTTCCCTCTGACATCAAACGTATGAAGCCAAATGAAAAATAGTTAATGAGTGATTACGGTCTCATACTAGTTACAGGCATTTCTTTCTGAAAAAGATTCTGAGCAAGTGCTTAAAATGACATGACCACTGTTGCACCTCCATAGTTAATTACTTTTGAGGACTTTCTCATCACAGCATGAACTGAGCATGACTTTATCTGGTGACTGGATAATCTCATTACAGATGATGATCTTGTTAATGAATATCCCCAAGACAGAGCAATCTCATTATTAGCCCCCTCAGGATTTGTCACCTAAGAGCCAATGTATGATGAGATTCTAGCTGCACAACATCTCCCCGCATCCTAATGGCCCAACGTCTTGAGGCTGAGGTAGCACCCTCAAAGGCACAGGAACCACTGGACGTTTTTAATTAGGATTGTTGTCCCTAAGTACTTCTGGACATACTTCCCAGGTGAACAATCAAGATAGTTCAAGGGCTATGTGCAGTTTCATCTCCCTGTTGTTCCGTAGAACAAACACAACACAGCGGCATCAAGGACAACAGAAACAGCGTGGCTTTGCCACATTGACAGTGACTTCAGGGCAGTACCAGGAAGTGTACTGTGTCTCCTCCGTAGTACCCTCTCCAAGTAATCACTCTGCACGGTGTCCTACCTACAAGTTACATATCTGCTGGTCAAGGGTCAGGCCTTCATTCCACTGGTGTCTGTTTCCCTGCATAATGTATCTATAAAGAACACTGAAAAGTATTACCATGAAAAACATCCATCTAGTTAAAAATCAACCTGATGATACTAATTTTTCCTTTTTTTTCTGGGAAGGTTAGGGTGGGGGTGGAACAGTGCTGAAGTCTGGTATAATATAGGCGTCTCCTTTGGGCATCAAAGCTGTTGAACTGGCTCAATGGCCTGTGAAACCTCAGCCTGCAAGAAGAGTTCAGTCCTAGAAATCTAGTAACAACACAGAGATTGTTTTACAGAAAACTAACACATTAATTTGAGCTAAATATATTTAACTCAACTGTTTTATCAAAAAAATGTTTTAGAGTATTTACTCTTCCGTATGGACCCATCCAAGAGAAATGTCAAGGAACTAAGTATCATTGCTGCTATTGTTTTCTTAATATGTAGTGCTGTGTTTGTACAGTGCTTTACAGACATGCAGAAAGGTGGAATTTTTATCAAATACAATGCTAAAAGAGAGGGAAGAACAATGGTTACAAGAGTGAGAGTTATCGAGATGCTCATTTTCTAAATGATCCGTATTACAGTGCAACCAATGTTTCCCCTTGCTCCTATAGTGTTAACAAAACCCATGCTAGATGAGAGATTGGCAATGCAGAAAAGCAATACATTTTCTTAATTAATCTGGTGGATAGCGGGAACCTGGGCACTAAATCCCACCCATTTGATTTCATTAAATCTACTATAAAGGTTAAGCTGCACTTTAGCATTGGCTCTAGACAACCTCCCCCAGCAAAGTGAGGTCAAGGAGATCTCATTCAAGGAGGTGCAGCTTAGTAAATTACTATTTATGAGAAAAGGCCCGATAAATGGTTCTGTTTTGATGAGAAAGCTAGGCAGTGGGGCACACCAAATAGTAAATGTGGTATTTTATTTCACCTGCAGTTTTCCTGAGATGTATGCTTTGAAGAGTTTACAGAGAATTATTCCTAGAATCATAGAATTATTTAGGTTGCAAAGGACCTTTAAGATCACCAAGTCCAACCGTTAACCTAACACTGCTAAGTCCACCACTAAACCACGTCCCTAAGCACCACATCTACATGTCTTTTAAATACCTCCAGGGATGGTGACTCCACCACTTCCCTGGGCAGCCTGTTCCAAACAAGCTTTGTTGCCCTTCTTTGGACATGCTCCAGCACTTCAATGTCTTTCTTGTAGTGAGGGGCCCAAAACTGAGCACAGGATTTGAGGTGTGGCCTCACCAATGACAAGTACAGGGGGACGATCACTTCCCTAGCCCTGCTGGCCACACTATTTCTGATACAAGCCAGAAGCCCCAGGCAACTCTGGTGTCACTGGAAACTCAAATCTCAGCCTTGGGTCACTTGGAAACAGTGTCAGAGTCTATGTCAGAGCAGCCTGGAGCAAGTTCAGGGACGAAACAGTGCCCTGTCTAATTTGCCTATAAAAGAGGGTCAGTGGGAGCTAAAGCACTTGGCAGAGAGTTGTATAACATTTGCCAGAGGCAAGCTATACAAGCAAGAGGATGACTACTGGACATCCTCTGGCAGTGATGGGCAGGGAGCTAAAGGAGAAAGAAAAGGGTGAAGCGACCATAGTGTTTTCTTTGCTCACCATTGTGCAGCCACACCTGCCCATGAAAGAGTTTCCTCTGCACGCCATACATTGTCTCCACTTCAACTGGAGGCACAGTCCACTCCCCAATGTGCCCCCTGGTAAAGCAAAAATATATTGTGTTTTGTGTTGGTTTAGTAAGAAAAAAATTTATTCTTTTAAGTAAAAAATGGACTACATAACAAAATAGCCCTTTAGTGTTTTTCATTTTGAAGTCGTGGTCTGGCTTACACAGCAAGGGGTAAGGGGCTTGACCAGATTTCCTTCAGAGGTCCCTTCCGACCTGAATTATTCTATGATTCTGTAAAATTATGTGTAGAGTTTCATACCTAAGTTTGTATGACTGATTATTGCCATTGCTCCTGTGAACTGAGCCGTCACATGTGTAGGTTATGTAAAACTATCCGTCGAGCTTCAGGGAACAGTCGATAGGATTCAGTCCCCATGTGTGCAGCCTGAGCTTGCAAGTTCCTTCAAGTAACCAGGATCTCACATGGCAATTGGGAAACATCCCTTTAGACACAGAGGCTACAGCTTTAATGTTACTGGCAAGCTTCTAAAAACACTGATATGCAGGCAATCCTGAGAGAAGCTGGTAAACTGCAATTAGGAAATTAGGTTTTCAGTTGCATTAATGTTATGCAAAAGATACCATATGTGTTGTGTTTTCTTTCCACAGCTTAATGTCTGGGCTAGCAGCCCTGGATGCCAAGACTTCCAGTCGATTAGGTATCATAACCGTCACTTACTACCTGTGGACAACATTTGTGGCTGTGATTGTGGGAATAATTATGGTCTCCATTATCCATCCTGGTGGAGCGGCACAGAAGGAGAGCACTGAAGAGGGCGGAAAGCCCATCATGAGCTCTGCAGATGCACTGCTTGACTTAATCCGGTAACTACATTCATTCTTTCTGCTTTCTGAAGGTAACATTTTGTACCTAACTGCTTGAGAAACTGTGGCCTGAGGATAAGTTCTGAACCTAAGGATGAACATTTTGTTTATATCAAGAAAAAGAATCAAGAAAATTTCAGAAGATGATTTTCAAGTTATCAGATGTTTATACTGTCTCTTTCTAGTAAAATTTAAATGAATGGCCACCAAAACGTATCAGAAGTACTAACAACACTGGGGTAGGTTTTTTTTCACCGCTGCAGAATCACATGTAGCCTGGGGAGCTTATCATGAAATCTATTATTAAGGCCAAGAAAGTATTAAAATGTAATGTTAATTTAAATAAGGGCAGACAGTTGTAATGGGCAAACCCTTAAATATAAGAGTTGAAATCCACATTTTTCAGGAAATAATTCTTAAAAGTGCTGTTACAACTGGTCATAGCAACTCTCAGATGAACGACACAATTAGAAGGACCACTGTTGTGATCTTTTTATTCCTTATTTTTATCACATTATTTGTTCTGCTTCGTGGCTTTTTCCTTTTTTGTTTTACTTTGTTTGGCAGAAGGAAGGGTTGTTCTTTCAGACCAGCATTAGAGCACTGATGGCATTTTTATAGCCTTGCCTTAATATCCTTCTTTGTCTCAACATTTCAGGTGCTAGTGGGATTAGTTTCCTGACTGAACATAGTATGTGCCTCAGATTTATTTTGCTTATGCAGAAAGACCAAGTTTTGCCTTTGTTTGGTAGTTTCTCAAGCCGGTGATCTCATACCATATTGGGCAGGGGCGTCTAGGCCCGGTCTGTATCTAAAACAGAAAGAGTTCTCTTTGGAGTTTGACTTACAAAAATAAAAAATGTTGCACAGTTTGTCTTTCAAAAACCAAAATTCCTGACCCTGACAGGGCATCAGCACACCGAATACTTTAATTAGAGTTACTGGGACCTCAAATCAGAAGGAACTGGGATGAAAAACTTATAAAGATCTCTTTTTTCTCCTCCAAGTTGCACTTAGCCAGGCCATCTGAAACCTGCATGTTTTTCTATTGTATCAATGTCTTAATGAGAATGGGCCAAATTATATTAGTCATGGAGCAGCAGCTGAGCTTTCTTTTGTAGCTTTCCACAAACCACCATCTTCATCTGCAATGGGAAGATGCCCACTTCATGGCATCTGTATCTCCCCAGTGACTTCACTGTGTAATCTTAATGATTATCTTCATAGTGATAGTGTTTGGAAACCCTTTCTGGCGTGCTGAGCTGTTTCTAAGGCCTCGGTCTTAGACAAGTAAAGGCATAGTGAGACATATGGTGCAGTGTTACATCCAAACTGACCTTACAGCTGTCTCTGGAAAGGGTCTCCCTCACCATAGGTTCCCATTCCCTTCTTCACACCAGCCCAGTTGCTTTTTGAGACCCAGAGTAAGCTAGTTCATGAAGATGAGTCAGATGAAAAGTAATTTGGGCATGCAAAATCTAAATTCAGTTTGGGCACGCAAAATTTAACTGCAGTTCTATAGTATGTTTGCACAAAACAACTGAACGTTTGTATGGCTGGAACCTGAGATCTGAGTTACAATCTCATCTCTTCATCTCTATTTGGGTAGTCCCTGTACACCACAGGTTTAGTGGTGAGGTTTGAGAACACTTTATTCTGCTGAGCCTCATTGCAGATAAAATACTATGTCCTGATCTAAACATTTGCAAATATAATCTATAATTTCACTTCCTACAAACATTTACCTGAGCAAATTATAATAGTTTGCATGCATATTTCAGGTATTCCTGTTTCCAACCAGTCTGCAAAACCTTAGAGTCTTCACTGGTTTGGGCAGGTGTCAACAATGACTGGCCAACGAGCCACTCTCACTACCGACGCTTAAAAAGAGAGAATAAAGCTCTCTCCTTTTGCTGGGCTAAGCAGCAGTCACAGCTGCAATATTTCTACCCCGAGTCCACAAACTGATGGTTTTTATTTCTCCACTACAGAAATAACCACATTTGCTAAATAAATAAATAAGAATAACACAACTTTGGGGAATGGGCTTTCAGCCTAGGCAAACACTATGGGTGAAATCCTGGCTCTGCTGAAGTCAATTGCAAAACTCCTAAATATCTATGTGGAAGTCTGGATTAAATGTAATGATGTATCTGCTGGTTTGAGCTAGAAAAGCTGATCCTTTAGCTCAATGATAAATCACTTCCATTCACAGCTGGAGACAATCTTTTTAGGCCCAGATTGGCTTATCTTCTCAATTCATTAATTTCCTCTCAATTTATCAATTGCATATGTGCACAGAAGTTTACACAGGAAACATCTGGTATTCTGCAAATGAAGAATGCTAAATGTACAAGTGGAGAGATGATATATGTGACATAATTGTGGGGTTTATTTTAAAAGCATGAATCTTGGCATGGTGATACACATATTCATCCTCACTGATTTCAGATTTGAAGCCACTTTGAAATTATTAAATACATTATTATTTCTTGTGATGTTATATATGACATTGTCAGGTCTGGAATTTTTGGCAGGGAGGATGTTGCTAGAAATTTAACTTCTGGAATTTTTGGGTAAGGCTTTTGCTTTTAGAAGTGGTTTTAATCAGAAATTAAAGAATGTACTGACTTAGCAATAAATGAAACCAAGAACTACTGCAGACCCGCATGGTCATCCTAAACACCTGCAACATTAATCAATAATTACATTATTATTCTGCATTATTTAGTCTTTATACCTAAAATCTTTAGTGCTGCTTTGGCCTTAAATGTCTGAATTTTTGCATTACTCTGATCCAGCTTTAAACCAAGTACATCTTCTGCTGCCTGTGGAAGATACCCGTTTAACTAGATAGTTCACCTTTGTTCCTGTGCAGGAATCTCCCCTTCCATAACTAGCCCCTCTCTATCGGCAGTGCCAGGATCCAGGCTAAGGACACATAATTCAGAAGGCAGCTGTGAGTCTGAAGCTGTGCAGGAAATGCTATTCTGAAGATGCTTCTCTCTTTAGCTGCCACTTTATTACTACATTGAGACAGATGTACAAATCTGCCTTAATTATATTCAAGGTTTCTGGTACAAGCACTGCAACACTCATGAAAGTATATTTTCTTCCATATTTAAAACTATAAATCCTCAGGCTAAGTATCATCTTGTTCTCTTTAATGCACTGAAGTACCTGGTGCTTTATGAATTTTAATGGATTTATTTTCATTATATGCAATACTTCTGTGAGGTAGGCAAGGACCATTTTCCTTTCTTACAGCTAGAGAATCAAGACACATGGAAAAGAAATTACCTCACTGAGGATTGTTCAGAAAAATCTGTGGTGCCAGAGGAAATATTCCCAGCTTGTACGAGACCTAGTAGGGGTCTTGTTCTAGGAATGTGTCTTTTGGGGAACCTCAATGGAAGTAATAGCAATGAATCAACACACATCTTTACCTTCTCTTTCTTGTGTGAATTATCGAAATTAACTCTGTACTATGTCCCAAAAAATAAAAGAGAGAATTTTTAGTAGCCTTTTGTGAGTTAAGAAATTAAGAAAGGCAAGATATCAATTTTTAAAAATAATTCAGACTTTGGGTGTTTTATTTAAAAGGACAAAATGGGACATACTTAGAGGAATAGTGTTCAATTTAAAATATTAAGTTTGTTTAATTCTGCAACATATATTCACCTGACAAGCAGAATAGAAAATGCCTATAATAGGGGATGAACATTTGTAAAACAAGATATATGACTCAGGACCACAATGTTTACATTAGCAATTAATATTTCCACCACATTCTGCTGCTGTTATTAAAATACCTTTGATTTAGAAGGGTAAATCTTAAGGCAACTTAAATCATGCTATTTGCTTTTGTCACCAAGAGAAACAAAATTTGGCTGATGAGATAAAAACGAACAAGCAAACATTCACATGAGGAAACAACTCCCACCAAACTGGGGGTTCACCCTCCTGTTTTATATAAGACTGACTGTGTGTGCAAATCTGGGCACCAGCAAGCGCAGCGTTCACAGACATTTTTGGTCTGACATCGCAAGCTTATTCAGTTCAAAAGCTCCAAATAAAACAATTCAGTGAATACAGTCAGGATCAAATAATGCCTTAACCCATGACACACAAATTTGTACATTTCTGAAATTTACTGGAAGGATAAGAGCATTTTACCACTGAATATTCAGGATTGCATCCAATTTAATAGCAGGTACCAGGAAACTCAATCTGGCTTAACCAAGACAGGGGTTTTTTTTAATACCATTAGTAGTTAGAAGAGGATATAAACACTGTAGAGGATTTATGTTTTCATGGGAATCCTGAGCACTCTTTAAAATAATTTTCTTTCCCTCATTTCAAGCTAAGGGCTATATTCTATTTTATAGAAATGGTGTTTCTTGAAAATAAGGCAGGAGAAACCCAGTTATTGGCTGTAGTTTGGAAAAAGTCCAGGCTGTGCAGAACTGAAAATCACACTTTAAAAAGTTTACAGCTAAAGACTGAATTGTATATACACACAATAAGATATTTAAGACTGCATTAAATGATCCAGGGTTTAAACTGTGAAAGAACTTTTTTAATACCTTTGCCCTACATATCTTCTGCCAAAAGCCACTGTGTACTATGGTAGAAATATTTATCTGTCCCCTATGGCAAACTACCATTTTTTACTCATTTCAGATCACCAGTTTTCTTTTATGTCACAAAACCAGCCTGGTGCCAGTGCTGTTCTGCACTGTATGTGACCAGATGTTCACTTCTGGTTAATTTTTAAGCAGTTCAAGCTGCACAGAAGCCCAAACCTCAAGTATTTACAAAGGACTCTGAAGCCCCTAAATGTGTGGTTCCTATCTGGCACAAAAGGAAACCAACATGGAAAAAAGATAATTCCATGATGAAAACAACACTGGGGAGATGGACTACGAAGCAGTTTCTGCTCTCTGGTCAGGAGGCCTTAGTCACAGAGGGGGAGGTGCATGGGGGCCAGGAGTTAAAAC